TGCCTCAGTGTGTGCGTGGGGGGGGGGACAGAAGAGGAAGAAGATTGGATTTATACCCCTGGCCCTTCACTACCCAAGGGAGGTTCAGAGCGGCTTACAAGCTCCTTTCCCTTCCCCTCCCCACCACAGAGACCCGCTGTGAGGTCAGTGGGGCCGAGAGAGCTCCGACAGAAACTGCCCTTTTTCAAGAACAGCTCTGCCAGAACTATGGCTTGCCCAAGGTCATCAAGCAGCTGTAAGTGGAGGAGTGGGGAATCAAACCCGGTTCTCCCAGATTAGAGTCAGCGCACTTAACCACGACACCAAACTGGCAAGAAGAAGAAATTGGATTTATATCCCCTGCCCTTCACTCGGAGTCTCAGAGCGGCTCACAAACTCCTTCCCCTTACCCTCCCCACAACAGACACCCTGTGAGGTCGGTGGGGCTGAGAGAACTCTGACTGAGAACTGCTCTTTTTTCAAGAACAGCTCTTATCAGAACTACGGCTTGCCCAAGGTCATCCAGCCAGGTGCAAGTGGAGGAGTGGGGAATCAAACCCAGATTAGAGTCCGTGCACTTAACCACTACGCCAAACTGGCTCTCCACTGCAGTGCAGAGTAGCTCAGGTCATCGTAAAAGAAGACTGCTGGGCCTCCATCCACTCCAGAGGGCTGAAGCGACCCCCGTAAGAGGAGGACCACTCCACACAGCCCTCTGGGGGCAAAGCCATCGCTCAGTGGCCGCTTTGCACCCAGAAGGTCCCAGGTTCAATCCCCAGCATCCCGTTGAAAGGATCGGGCAGGTGTGAAAGACTGGTTCTGTCTGAGACCCTGGAGCGCCCCATCGGGGGACAAGACTGCCCTGCAGAGACCGCCTGCTCTAAGGCAGCTCCACACACACCCACCCACCCACCCACCAAGCCCCCTCCCAAGCCTCTGTGGTGATGAGGGACTGCTGAGACCGGCTGCAGAGAGACACCAGTGCTTGCCCCCTCCTGACGGGCACTCCCTCCCACCCTGTCCAGACGTCAGAGCGCCAGATTCCCGGCCTGGTCCCAGGCTGCGGGAGGCAGGCAGGCGCCCCCCAGCGTCAGGCCAGACACCTCTGCCTGGAAAGGCCACCGCCCTGCTTGGGGCCTGGCCCAGAGAAGCACCCAGAAAAGGGCAGGGGTCCCTGCTGGGGCTCGCTCAGGGAGGAACGGGAAGGCTCCAGGGTCTCAGGGGTCTCTGCTGGGCGGGCAGAGAGACAGGCTGACTGCCCGCCCCCTCTCCTACTGACTAAGCGGTCCAAAAAGGGCACGCAAAGGATAAAAATGTCCCTCCCGTAACACTCACAGACACGCTGGCTGCAGTTGATAGCTCATAATACCTCTCCTCCCTGCTGCCCCCCCCCAGCCAGAACATTCCGGCATCGCAGGGGGCCTGCAGCTCCCAGCAAAGCCTCCTTGGGAGCCACTCTGGCAGGGAGCCCCCCCCTTTCTGAGCGGGCAACGGCAGGGTCCCCACGACCCCCCCCCCTCACCCTGAGAATCCGCCTCCCTCCTGAGGCCCTGCCAGAGACTTGGTCTTCCACACAAGATGTGCTCCAGTTTATTATTGCAGCAAGGGACCCCCCCCCCATTTGCCAAGCAGGGCTTCTCAGGTGGGGGACAGCAACTTGGGGGTGCATTGTGGGGGTAGCCTCTGGGACGCACTGCCCCCTCCCCCTCCCTGCAGGGCTCCCCCACCCAGAGATGGCGCTTGCATCCGAGCGGCAGGAGGAAGCATGATGTGTGTGGGAGGGGGGGGACTCAAGAAGCCGTCCTGCTCTCCAGGGACAATGCGGGGAGGCCGAGCAGCACCGCTGGACCAGGTAGGCCCTGGAGGGGCCGACGTGGCTCCTGGTGCGCCTGAGATTCACGCACTCGGGGGGGGGGAGCAGGCAGAACGGGGTCTCTTGTGGCAGCCCCGGGCCTCCTGCCCACTGCCTGCCCCTGGCTTCAGAAGGGCCATTCCCATGGCCCAGAAGGGAGACGCGGCGGCAGCTCACTGCGCTATTCTCGTCTTGCGAGGCGGGCGTCGGACATTCCCATGGAGGCGGCCTGGGAGAGCCTGGAAACAGCGTGGGCCCTGCAACAGCGGGGATGCCGGCCAGGCGCTGGGCTCCAGGGCAGGAAGCGGGGCGGCTCTC